GAGGGCGGGCGGCTTTTTGCACATGAGCTCCAAGATTTGGCTTGTCAGCTTGGAGGAAGTGAGCACAAACTAAACTGCCCCTTAAATAGGCTGTTTGGTTTCACTCTGAAAACCTTTGTCCCTGTAAATGGTGAAGGCCTCTGCAGATTTCTGCTGGACACACGTTTTTTCTAGTCTGCAGATAAGATTATTATAAACAAGTATGTTGGCTCTTTCTTGAAGTCAGACTAGGAAAAATAATTTCCCAATGGAGTAGGGGAAGTCCAATAATTTAATCACAACACTCACTTGGTGAGTAAAACTAAAGCCAACACATCATAATTTTGGAAGGAGGCTGGAGAAGTCCTGTAAAGTCTTCACGTAGCTACCACAAAAGAAGTCTTCAAAACACTATGGAATGGGTCAATTATAAAGAACTTAGCACATAAAATAAATTGCCTCTGACACAAGAGGCAAGTATACAGCAGCAGACAACTCGTGACTGCTCATAGACGACACCACAGTAAATAAGTTATTTTTAGTATAAAAGGGGGAGGGCTACATGTTCATGAGTTTGTTTATTTTATTTTAAGGAGCCAGTCTCTTAATACATGATGAAAAAGAAAGTTAAGCCTGTTGCAGATGTAGTAGTGCTCTGTGTTCTTTTATGGGGTGGGAGGGAGGGGCAGGGGATAGCAGTCCGTAGCTAACAGCTTTCTAGTCTGTATTTTTCTTCATGAAGTTTATCTTCTGTGCAGGGATGGCTGTTTGTGGTGGCTGGTAAGTCACATACTTTATGGTACTTCAGCGAAGCTTTTCAAGCTCATTGACAACTTGCTTTAGATATAGGTAGCTGTTTACATGTCTCAGGCAAGTGAGATAGTCTTTTTGGACAAGTGTCTGAATCTGGTTGTAGTATTCTTACTTTATTAAAGTTACTTTTAAATATGGTTAACTGTTATCATAGCAGGCGGTATATTTGTGAGGGTAAAACTGGTCGGGTTTTTTTACACTGTATCTCTCCTGCAGCCAGACTGTTGATCTTCTCATGCAAGAGTCAGGATGTCGTTTAGAACATCCTTCTGCTACCAAATTCCGCAATCATGTCATGGAAGGAGAATGGGATAAGGTAACGTAGGGCTTATAGGACTGTATTAACCACTGTTTAAATTTATAGTATCTGTGAGAGAATTCAAAATCCACCTTCCTTACATACTTTTTTGTTCTGTTGTTTTTTTTCCTTATGCCGATTTCTGCAGGCTGAGAACGACCTGAATGAACTTAAGGCCTTAGTGCATTCTCCGCATGCAATTGTGGTAAGAGGCACGCTTGAACTCTTTCAGAGCTGTATAGTTGGACTAAATGTAGTGGTGTAATCTTTCACTATGGAGTTGGTTGTCCATAGTTCTTGTTTTCTTTTTTGTTTACTTTAAGCGGCTTGCATGCTATCTCAAACGTCATACTAATCTGAAATTTTTATTCTTTTTTAGAATGTGAGATAGGAAGCCCAAAAGTATTGAGGCTAGTATTTGGTGTAGTGAATGTTTAAACTTTGTTAAACATAGGTAACTGATAAAATATAAATCCTGTAACAGTTCTGAAATAGGTCAGTTCCTGTAGAAACTGCCTATGTTGAATACTAATATCAAACTTGAAATACTTTCTACAATCTCTGTGTTTATGGGAATTAGGTTTTCTTGAGGGAAGAGAAGTTTAGAAATAAAATGCAGTAATACTAATGTAGAGTTGGCATTGTAATAGCATGTTACAAGAATATAGAGGCTGCTATAGACCATGAACAATACTGTTGCTTTTCCAGATGGCTTCTAAAGAGCAAATGCATTTGTATTGCTGTTTGGGATTTTATTTAGAGCTTTTTCTCTTTGGCTGGCTTTTTTTAAAAGATGAACCTAGAAATAAAAGGTTGGTAGATCCTGTGACTTGACAATTACAATATGTGTTGTTATGATATGTTTGAGGAAAAGTGTTTCTTGGTTTGATTTTTGTGTCTCAAGATTAAACTCATCACTTGGCTCTTCAAACGGCTTGTTCTGTTGTGTTTAAACGTTTATTTTAAGGAAATGAAGTTGGATCAACTATGGTCACTTATGCAGAAAGCAGTAGCAAGGCTTTTTGAAGTGTCTGACTGTAAACAATGAAGAATCAGCTGATGGCTGCTTAGCTCCACTTCTAGCTGATTCATTTGTTGTCAAGACAATTTCCTGTCTGGTGGGGGAGGGAGAGAAAGAGAGAACAGGAAGTGAAGTAGGAAAAACAGATGTTTAACAAAACATCAGAGGGTGCTTGAGAGAAGTTTACATTCTGTTCTATTAATTTGGTCAGAGCTTAGCACCTCTTAACTAGACCAGTAGTTCACTTTGTTTTCTTGATATACATAAGATTTACTGTTCAAATAGTTTAGAATATTGCATGCAGCTTTCAATAGTTTGTGGAGACTGAAAGTATGAAACCACCATATGTGAATATGAATGGTCATTTGAAGCAGATTTTCTTATGTTTCTAACTTCTGAAGTTATCAAGTTTCTCTGTAGTAGTAAAGTGTTTTACATGTCTAGGGGTCAAGAAGTTTAACTGAGTATCAGTGTTATACTTCTTGGAGAACTTAATTTGAGGAGAAAGGGGGCGTTTTCCTTCTGTTGTTTTCAAGGGCTCTGAAAACATGCTGTTATTTAATGTTGATTTCTAACTGCTTAAATAAAACTTGGTGCGATAAAACTACTTGGTTTAGACTGAACTTTACCTGAACCAAATATTAACTACTTTCTTTTTGAAGCTGTTCTCCTTTATGTAACTTTCTATAATTTAAAACAGGTAACAGTATTAAATCTTATGTGTGTGTTAGTAAGACAATACCGATTTGCAAGGATAGCTTGAGCTTGTGTGCTGAATTGTGTGCTCACTGTCTCCACCTCCCTCCTCGCCCAGCCTTTTTGTACATGGTTGAGATTATGGGTGGGTATTAGTATAGTCAGCACCTGGAAAACTGGTGAAAGTTCATTACGGGTAAGGAGGGATGCTCTGTAGGTAATCCCAGCTGCAACAAAGTCTGACCTAATTAAGATGATAAATGTCTTGATTAGGGAAAGTCCAAACAAGATGCTGCTGCTGGTGACTCTTTCAAAGCAGAAAATCAGATTTTGGGTTTCCTGACTTGTGACTCACACTGTATGTTTGGTGTTCCAAAAATGTGTGCATACAAGAAGAATGGGTACCTAAAAGTTCAGATGACACAGTGTTTAAAGTAAGGTGGGGAGGGTGTTTGGCTTGGTTGGTAGTTTGTGGTTTGGTTTTTTCATCATAGTTAGTATGACCTGGACAAAATAACCAGGGTACATAGCTGTTTTTGAAATGTCTGGTCAGTGAAGGGGATACAGATGTATTTTGGAAATTCTACTCTTGTTCTAATTTCTTTATTTCAGCAAAGTGCTTTAAGTTCTACAGGTGAAAACACTAAACATGAAATGGCTGATCTCAATTTGTTACACTTTGATGCTGTGTGTTGATACGTTGGGGGGGCTGACAGTCTGCTATTTCTGTTTGTGTCAACACAGCTGAGTGCTATATAGTGTGCAATTAGTCATGTTTACTTTTCCAGCATATAAGATACAGCTGTCTTGAGACAATCTGTAGGAAAACTTTATAGTTTATTCAAGCATGTTGTTTTTCCTTGAGTAACACTTAGAAAATATCAGCTTCCAGCCAGCCCAAGGTTTTGCTTACTTTAGGACTATTCAGGTGTTTTAATGGCATCTATCTTGGGAAACTGATTGAACCTAAGAAGAAATCTGGAGATTATTCCTCTATCGTTATTTAGAATATACTTTCAAATTGTTCTCTTTACTTTTCATTTTCATTTATTTAAATGGGACTTTCCCCCAGTTCTGGAGGTACACAGCCCACAGCAGGCAATACAACAAAAAAAGTGATTTGGATCTTGTTGTTTGAGCAAAGTGCTCCACCTGCCTGTGCGGTGTCCTTTGTGCTACCAGCATTAACCGGGGCAGTTCCCTATTGGAATGAATTACTCTTCAAGTGACAGGATTTGGTATGGTTGAAGCCTTGTTAAATTCCATAGGCCAGAATATTTTCTGCCCTTTACGTATCAAATCTTACATTTAAGTGTTGGGTGTTTTTTAAGTGCTTTTATCAGGGTTTTACAAGACTACAAAGTAATGCAAATTGGGGTCTTAGTTCTGCAGGCTGTAAGCAGATAGCTACTGCATTGGTTTGTCTTGAAAGATCAGCTGATAATTTCAGCATGTCTTTTAGTTACCTTCTTTATTTCAAAGAAGAGTTGTTTCAGCAGTGTTTACTTATTTTGAACTCTTAGTACAGTAATAAAGCTGTTATGGAGTTTGCTAAGATATGCAGGTCAAAAATAACACCATAAATCTAATCCCAAAATTAGGTTATTATGCATTTTACTCTTTAAACTTCTGAAGATTTGCCACTGTAACCAGTGGTCAAAACGGCCCAACTTTCTTGAGTGTGGTAGGATGCTTGTCCTGTTATTTTCACAGTTGTGTTGCTGAGGCTTTTGCCTTTGGTTACTTAGTGCTGGTGAAACATGGTACATGCAAAACTTCCTAGAGTTTAAGGTTCTGCAAGGGGCATTCCTACTAACAATTAGAAAAACAAAAGAGTAAAATACTAAACATTCGTGTTAGTAATTGAAAGCTGTAGTTTGAAGAAACCAAAATGCTAATAGTACATACATTAAAACAAACACACACCCCACCCCCATAAATCTATTAACACTGTCTTAGTTTTGCCCCAGAATAAACAGAGGTTCAACTCAGATTTAAGTAATAGCTTATAGAAACAATGAAGTAATGTACTTTACCCTCATCCTCTCTATAGAGTAGAAAGACAGGATGAGGTAGTGATAGCTCAACAAAACCATCCAGACTGCAGTGCTGAAACTGTTTTGGGCTCTTCCATAGGTCCTACAGGGTGAAGAGTCTCTCCTGTAAGCTAAATGATGATGGTGACTGGATTTTAAATTGTTCAGTGGTAAAGAGTGTAATGATGTTGAATTTCCAATGCAGACACTGAGATGATAACAACAAATCCCAGGCACTTCTGTTATGGTATACATGGTGTAATTTGGATTATGATAATTTTTATTTCCCGTCTTTGGAAGGCAGCTAAAGAATATGGAGAATAAGCTGTTCTTGTGGGTGCATTGCATCAGATTAGTTTTATACTCATTCTTTTCTGCTTAAGTAGTGGGGTTTGTGCTTTTACTGCACAGATGCCAATATTATAAACAGTTCACTTTCTTTTTAGAAGGGGTTATTGGGGCTCTAGAAGAGATGATGCACTCAAAATGGTCTTGTCTACCATGAGAAAGTGATATTGGAAGTAAGTAGCAGTACTATTAGCAGGCATATAAGTAGTTCAGAGAAAATGAAGACAAAATTCAGTTGTTCAGTGAAATCTGTTTGTCAGCAAAGTCCATAGTTGCACAAAAATAAGTAGTAGGAGGTTGTGAGTGTCCTGATATAAAAAAAATGACTTGAAATATGATGTCACTGGAGTGTGACTTTTGCCTTAAGGAGGCTGTATTAATGCCATTGTTTGAGTATGCTGTGGGGCAAGTTTTGGAGCAGTTACCAAAATAGCTTAGCAAATCAATTTAATTTCCTTATCAACACTTTACTCTAGTCCCTGCCTTTTGCTATAGATAAGTTACAGTTTAAAGCTGCTTATCTTTTATTCTAATTCTCCATTATGTTAGCAGTAGACTCCTGCATGAAGTGTACAATACTGTGTTGTCTTTTTTTTTTTTTTTTTAAATTACACTTTCTAACCCAAAACTGAAGTTACATCTCTTTGGATAACTTGGCAACAGCATTCTGCATGGTAGTGTTCTTGTAATGCTTCCATGGAATTGTTGGGACTGGTGCTACAGAAACTGTTTTTTAGGGTTTTCTGCTCTTTTTATTTTTTCCCCTAATGAAATGAAATTAACATTCCAAGCCCTAAAAGTAGGAAAGGAGAAAGAGTAATTAGATACAGATACTACATTTAAGGGAAAGATGATATAAGTTTAATAAATACTGTATGCAGTGAGTGGAGAAAGAAGAGTTGGAGGGATTATAGACTTTTTTTTTACAAGCTAGAAATACCAGACTATTTCTTACCTGGTGGTGATCATCAGTGTGAGGTGACCAAGAGGAGTAAAATATGGTATGTGGCTACTACCTAAGCATCTCCATGCATCCTTGTGAGCATGTACATAGCTGGGAGAAGCAGCTCTTATCCCTCCTGCTGCTAGTATATAAGCAAACAGTGTGAGGTCTGCTGGCCTACTGCATGGAACCAACCACTGAGGTTTTAAATAATTGGGATACCTTTATTTTGGTTTTCTACATGTCAGAAAACAAAAAATGTTGTCTCACCTGGAAAAACTATACAGTGATGCTCTAACAATTCCAAATTCAAATAAAGAGCTGGATAGGGAATATGATATGGGTTTGACTGTCACATACAGGACAACAGAGTACTACAGATGTTTGAACATAAATAATCTTTACTATGTAATGTATTATGCTTCACAAAATTGTGTGGAAAGTTAATAGCACTGTATGTGGAAACTATTCATTTGAAGAACTGAACATCTCTGGAAGCTAGAACTGCTTTTGTTTTGACTCTGGATTCTACATATAGTAAAACTTAAACTTTCATGTAAGCTTTACTAGGGCAGGAGCATCTTAAACTTCCTGACTATCCCTCTACTTAAGGAGGCTACCAGCGTGTTTGGAACTAAGTAAACCTTGATCAACTATGAGCATGAAAATAGTGAACTACCTGAGGTCTGAAAAAGCAAAGGAAACTGGTGATTGAACTGATGGTGTATTCACACCACTGGTGGGATCGAGTGCACCCTCAGCAAGTTTGCAGATGACACTAAGCTGAGTGATATGGTCAACATGCTGGAGGGATGGGGTGCCATCCAGAGGGACCTGGATAAGCTTGAGAAGTGGGTCTGTGTGAACCTCATGACGTTCAACAAGGCCAAGTGCACCTGGGTCGGGGCAACCCTGGCTGGGGGATGAAGGGATTGAGAGCAACCCTGGCAAGAAGGACTTAGGGGTGCTGGTGGGCAAAAAGCTGGATGTGAGCCAGCAATGTGCACTTGCAGCCCAGAAGGCCAACTGTATCCTGGGCTGCATCAAAAGAAATGTGGCCAGCAGGTCGAGGGAGGGGATTCTGCCCCTCTGCTCTACTCTGGTGAGACCCCACCTGCAGTACTGTGTCCAGCTCTGGAGTCCTCAGTACGTGAAGGACGTGGACCCGCTCAAGCGGGTCCAGAGTTGGGCCATGAAATCAGGGGCTGGAGCACCTCCCCTATGAGGACAGGCTGAGAGAGTCGGGGTTGTTCAGCCTGGAGAAGAGAAGGCTCCAGGGAGACCTTATAGCGGCCTTCCAGTACTTAAAGGGTCCTACAGGAGAGGTGGGGAGGGACTTTTTACAAGAGCCTGATGTAATAGGACTAGGAGTAATGGTTTCAAACTAAAGGAGGGTAGATTTAGGCTGGATACAAGGAAGATATGAGGGTGGTGAAACACCAGAACAGATTGCCCAGAGAGATGGTAGAAGCCCCTTCCCTGGGAAAATTCAAGGTCAGGTTGGACAGGGCTCCGAGGAACCTGATCCAGCTGAAGTTGTCCCTGCTGATGGCAGGGGGGTTGGACTAGGTGACCTTTAAAGGTCCCTTCCAACCCAAACTATTCTATGATTCATTTTAAAAGCAAATGTAATTTGCTACACTTAATCTTCATTCTGTTTCTCACTGGTATGTTGAAGAATGTACATTTTCCTCTTTAACCTGGTGGGTATTGTGGGCCAGAATTGTCTTTTCTCTCTGATAACGTCTAGCAGTAAAGATGTGCAAACACAGAGTAGTTGGTTTATCAAGAAACAACCAAAGTGTGTTTCTACTAAATTGATATAGAAATTTCTAGGACTTCAGGTTTTTGAATATGGTAAACGAATGCTTGGTTTTCTTTTTTTTTTTTAATCCACAGACATTTGTTATCAGAATGGCAGGCTTGATTTTTTTTTTAAATAAAACAACCCAAAACTGTACAAGATGAAAGGAACACTATGAAATAGCAAAATACCAGTGTTTAATTCTGAGAAGTGATTCCTAAATATAGGGAACTATTTTTTTCTGTAATCCTGATAAATGATACGACACCCAAGGAAAACAACTGAGCATGGAACTACAAAACAAAACCTCAGGCAGTGTCAGTTTGTTACTGCCGTATGTTATGCAGCTATGCAAACAATCCATGTCAGCTCCTGTGTAAGCAGTATGAGAACGTGTGGAGTTGGCCTGTTATGTTCTGTGCTGTCACGCAGTCTTAAACATGTGGTTAGCTGCTTTTGTGTGTTTTTTCTTGACAGAATGTAAGGTTGGGAAGCCTACTTAATTCAGGGTTTGAAGAATGGTAACTGAAAAGGGAGTGAGTATGAAAATGAATTAAGTTGAAGGGGGGTGCTGAGAAATGAGGTGGGAAGATACTTGGAGCCCCATAAGGCAGGAAGGAAATTCATGGATAATTTAATTGCTGCAATGTTGAAAATCCAACAAAAAGAAATTGAGTAATGAAACATTACATATAGCTGTATTTCTGAAGGGCATAGTAGAATGGTTTCTACTGTTCTGTTTAGGCTCAAACGTTTTCTGAAACTTCAGTCAACCTTTTTCCCCTGACTGCTGCTTTCTGTCATGTCAGAGGATGAAGTTTTTGCTGCTGCAGCAGAAGTACCTGGAATACCTGGAGGATGGCAAGGTCCTGGAGGCACTTCAAGTTCTGCGCTGCGAATTGACGCCTCTGAAATATAATACAGAACGTATTCATGTCCTCAGTGGGTAAGTGTTTGGACTTTAGAGAGCTCTTTCAGTGGAATTTTCTAAGGAATTCTGTAGCTTTTGATAGCAGACACTGTAAAAACTCAAACTGTATTAGAGCTATTATCCTGTTGATTTATAAGCTGTAGTGAGGTATGCTAAAATGGTGAGTAAAGAAGACTATTCAGTAGACAGTGTTCTGTTTCACATGCTTGAAAACAACCTGATTATGATTTACTTTTATAGTACTAGAACCCAAAGTAATATATATGTATGGTCATCTGATCTTCAGAATTACTAGCCTGTTATCTTATAATTGAATAAGTAGGTGACTGTAGTCTGGTTTGTTCTTAAATGAAAATAAGACATTTCTGGCTTCCCTGAAATCTGTTTGTATTTTATTTTTGTCTTCTGTTGACAGTTTATAGATACTTCTTCTGAAGAAGAGGCATGTTTGTGTGGAATAGTTCCCTGCCTTTTTTCCTATCAGTCTTAAGCTTAAGTCGCCTGTTTCCAGTTCATTAAGAATGCTATAATATATCATGCTTAAAAGTGAAAAGAATGATTCCATAAAGATTTGGTCTGTTGGTATGTGTGCGCTTTTTTTAAACAGGTATCTGATGTGTAGCCATGCAGAAGACTTGCGTGCAAAAGCAGAGTGGGAGGGGAAAGGAACAGCTTCCAGATCTAAACTTTTGGACAAACTCCAGAGTAAGATGTTCTAGTGTTTAGAATTTATTCCCACCTCTGTAAATCCAGTACATCTTGCATAATGACATCTCCCAGGGAAATGACTTTAACTGCATTTACTGCTGGTTGGTTTTGTATTTCTTGGTTGATGGGAATGCCTTTAGGTGCCTTTACCCTTTGGTCTTCTGTATCTAACCTTTTGTCTCTAATAAACTATTTGTAATAGAAGCTCTTGTTTCTTAGCTCTGCTACATGCAGTGATAGTATAACTTGGTGATTAAATGTGCAGTTTGGAGCAGGGGGAGTGTTTTGTAAATGCCAGTTGTACTGAGAGGTTGAAACTTAAGTGTGGCCTATAACTGTTAGTGATACTAGTACTTGTTGATAGTGGTCTCACTTTGCTGTCAATTATGGTTTCTCCTCTCTCTTGTGGCTGGTGTAATACTATGTATCAGAGTTGTAAAACCCACAGTATTGTTTATTTTGATACTGTTGATAGAGAATTCCTTAAATGAGCACAGCTGGTACTGTTTTACAATTTTGCGGATTTTGTTAAATACTGGGTTTTTGGATTAGCTTGTGTCAGTGGAGCTTGTTGGCCGGGACAGTGTGCGCTATAACTACAAATGTCTTGCATACAGCTCTGTTTTCCAGAAGTTCATGCCTCTAATTCCAGATGTCTAACTGTAAACTTGACAAGCTGTGTGCACTCTTTTCCTGTAGCTTTTAAGCTTTATTTACTAAAGTCTCTTCTAAAAAAAACCACTCAAATCAAAATATGCTCTTACTTGTAACTTGGTTTTCATATTTTTTTGTTTGTTTTTTCTTAATAACTCTTTTAAAGCATACCTACCCCCATCAGTGATGCTTCCTCCAAGGCGTTTACAGAACCTGCTACGTCAGGCTGTGGAACTACAACGGGACCGGTGCCTATATCATAATACGAAACTAGATAGTAATCTAGATTCTGTCTCGCTGCTAATAGATCATGTTTGTAGTAGGTAAGAAACCCTTGGGACTTTTAAGATGGGCAACAATATCTTTTCTCTTCTAAAATAAACTAATTGTACCTGCTGTTAAAAGGAACATGAAAACTATTCTGAATTGTTTTAACAGAAGTTGACTGGGAAAAGACAGTTCTCATTAAACGAACGTAGGTGGGGAGTGGAGAAGGTGTGTAAAGAGACTTTGGTAGCTGGATATGGGGCAACGGGGTCAAACTGAAGCTTTAAAATTTTAATCAGATGGGTATTAATAGAATATATGACTATGCAAATCCTTAGCCACTTGTTTCTTGTGATTTTGGACAGCCGGTCTGTTTATTCATCAACATGTGGTTGCTGTGTTTTTTTCACTGGAGAATAACTAGTATGTGACTTATCCAGACTCTGTCTTCGAGCTTAATGGAATGCAGAAAGCCTACTGAAGCATACTTCATGAAGTCAGCTTTCAGCTTCAACTTTTAATAGTGGACAATGAGATCTTTTAGACACAAAGTTTAAAACAGACGCAATATGTGCAATAGGCATTTCTGGTTTACATTTCTGTTTTACGTAATATGCAATATGAATGATATAAACAACTATTTCTCAGATTTGTAAAGTAGTAAGAATTGAAAGTTGCTTATACCTACATAATGGCTCTTCAGACTATCTGGATAACTTTTTTTTTTTAACAAAACCGGTGCTGCTTCTGGGTCTTCAAAACGACCTACTGTAGTAGAGATGAAGCAGGAAGATGTTTGTTTTTAACAAATGACAGGCTTGAGTTGTGTTCCCTCATCCAGCAGAACTCTGCAAAGGACCCAAAAACTCAGTGTAGCTTTTATGGAAAACTGCTGTGCATGGTATAATAAGGGAATGATGGCTAGGACACCTAGAAAATAAGGGCTGTATATGACATCCCTACATGTTTGTTCATGTAACAGGCCAACGCTTGGCCTTACAGGGGGTTCCTCCATGTTAAGGTTAGTTTATCTGAGGAAGTTAAATACTAATAAACTTGCTTATAGAAACTTTCTGAACTCAGGTGCTTTGACTTGTGCTCACAGGTTACTTGGAATCTGTTTTTAAAGATGCAGACTTCCATAGTACTTCACTGTAGCCATCTTAAGGTTTTAAAATTAATATCTTCGGCACTTCGTGCATTCAAGTAACTTTTAGACTATTGTCTAGCTTGCAATATTGCTACGTCACATTGTTCCCCATTTTAAGAGCTATTGGAAATGATCAGATACTGGAATTGTGGCTTCCCTACTTCAGAAGTGTGTCTTAAAATCAGACTAACTGCAAAAGATTTAATAATAATAGTGTTTACACAAGTTCATAAATAACATTGGATATTCTGTAGGGGAGTTGATGTGATTAATCAAACCCTAGAGAGCATTCAAGCCAACTGTAAAGAGTGTGGTTTACTGAAGTTGGACTAGGTAGAGCCAGATATAAAAGATACTACATGCAACACATCTGGACTTGAATTTCACCAATCAGAATCTATTTGCTGACATAAGTTTGGCATAGTTTGTTTGTTTGTTTTTTCACCTAATGTGATACTTCCTAAGTTTGCATACTTGGTATGTATACGTACATAGATACTCATGACTAGTTAAAAGAAAACAAACCCATTTCAAAATAAAGGCTTCCATTCTGTCCTCAACTCAACCTATTGTACCTACCTATTGCAGGGGTCTGAGATCAGTATGTGGTGCGCTGTACACGCTGCCATGCTTGGGCATAATGAGGTGAGTTAAAGACAGTGGAAGCCAAATTTTGATTAAACTGACAGAAGTAACGCTAGTCTAATAGCTTAGACAATTTAAGTTCTGTACTACTTAAATGATAGAACACTGACAACTTCCCCTTTTTTAGTTGGTACTAATCTGTTTTGGGCTTCTGGCAATATTTTGGTCAAGCATGTGTGAATTGCACTAATCGGTAAAATGTTTAGCTTTAATCACTTCATAAGTGGGAGAAAGTGCTGGGAGTGAAGGTGAGGGATTTCATCTTACTGTGCCTGAGACTTTGATAACCGAGAATTGATGCACTTGGGGGTGATCATTTTTGGTTTTGAGAGCCTTCAGCCTAGTTGGGTGGTTTGTGTTGATGTTGTTTGTCCTGTACCTCCCAGAGTTCTTTTGTCTTGCCTTCATGTAAATAAAATTTAGTCTGAGTTTACAAATAAACAGTGAAGCTCAAATGAGAGGTCAATGCTGCTGCTTTCTAGGTACTGTCTTAATTGGAAGTCGAGGAAAAAGTCTTCCATTGTGTGTGCAGGGAATAAAAAACTAGCTGTTTGTTTTATTTGAAACTTTGAACTTCTGTAAATAAAGCAACAGGTAACCTTATTAGGTACTTCATTTTTGTATGTGAACAACATGATTCAAACATGTGCTGAGCAGAACAGTTTGTAATGAAACATGTCAAAAAAGAAAAGAAAAACCTTTAAGCTACAATAATATCTAATTGCCAAAAACAGAAGCTGTTAGACAACTGGTTTTTGTTTCTTGTTTTGAGACTGCTGCTGTTTCCTTCCTCAGAAGCATTGTTTAATGTATGTTTGCTATCTGTGGAGTCAAACTTGCTGGATTGTGTTTCATTAGTTAAGTGAGGAGAACTTTTTGTGAGACTGCTCTGATCTGACTGAATTGTGAATAGTCTAATCCGATATTGGGATGTCTGCAGCAGCTATATCAACTGTGCCTGTTGCCCTTTTTAGGAACCTAAAGGCCACCTTACTATGAAAGTTGTGTACTCCAGCATCGTACTGCTTGCTTTTCATGTCTACAAAGCCTTGGCGGCTTTTCTTGAGCTTTAAAATACAAGAGCTATTGTTCTATAAAGTATTTTTTAAAATTAAATATGCTGAAAAGGTTTTCCTGGGACACAGTGTGCCCCTTGTACCTTGTATGAGTTATGGATAAAGACACTTTCACCTTCTAGAGCGAATTGCTGCTCTGAGGAAAAACATTAACTTATTACAATATAGCTAAATAATAATGAAACACTCTTCTTGTAGATACACATATATGTATAAGGGCTTGACTGCTTCCTTCTAGACTTCAAGGAAAACAAACTCATCTTTCATGGGTTGGGCTTTTTACCTTGGGCTCAGTGTTGTTCCAGTGGCAACTAGACACTCCTGGTCAGCTTAAAGCAGGAACAGAACAGACTTGTATTTCTCTATAAACGAGTGAGTAGACATACCCAAGGAATCTGACTGTGGATATGTATATGTATGTTTTGTTTATCCTTGTCTACCATAAGACAGTAAATTGGGGACTGTATGGTTGTTCAGTGCTCTTCACTAGTCTTTAAACATGGACTAGGAAGCATCTTCTAGTAAAAGTAAGTGGACTGAGAGGGTATAGACACTATACTCAGCAGCATTTTTTCTAGCTTCTGGTAAGTAGTAGTTTTTCAGGTGTCTGTCAGCCTGGCTAGCACTGAAGTGTGTTTTTAAACACAAATGTAAAGGAAATAGGCCAGTCTATCTCCAGTGATTAGGTACAACTGTATGTTCGTGGAGGCTGTCGTTACGTTAGTACCATTGGGTCCCATTAGAGTTATTAGGTACAACTGTATGTTCGTGGAGGCTGTCATTGTTACTTTAGTACCATTGGGTCCCATTAGAGTTGTGTTGCCCTGTTGCAGTAGGCACCGTAAAAACTCAGCCTAAGACTAAACCACTTCAGGATCCCTGTAGTTCAAGAAAAAATGTCTGTGGATAGAGACTACCTTTTAGTGCATCTGAACAATGAACTTGTAGTTACTGTGGTATTACTTATAAAAGCAGTCATCAGCTGTAAAAGCCTACATTTATTTTACCTCAGTTCTGAAATTCTTATACAGTAGGCAAGCTGTAAATAGAATAAAACTTGTTTCCAGTTCTTGTGTAACTTAATATTTTGACTGTTAGCTTTTCCTCAGCGTGTAACTAGAATACTAAACATTCATTCTAGAGGAATGTTTGACTCTTCTTCAGTAGTTTATCATATAATATTTTGTTTGATAAACGATGTTTTACAAAACGTGGATTTTGTGAGGGAGAACAATTCAAGTTGAAAGCTCATAGTGGTGTCATGTTAGTTATGCTTAGATATTTTATGTGGTACTCTGCAAAGACAGCAAAAAAGGCACAAAATGAAGGCAAAGAGACATCTAACTTATTGCAAGATCACATTCCAGAAAAGAAATAAGACTGTTCTTTAACTTTTATGTAAGAATCACTTCTAAAGATTTGGCTAACCATATCTTGGGCTGCATCAAAAGAAATGTGGCCAGCAGGTCGAGGGAGGGGATTCTGCCCCTCTGCTCTACTCTGGTGAGACCCCACCTGCAGTACTGTGTCCAGCTCTGGAGTCCTCGGTACGAGAAGGACATGGACCCGCTCAAGCAGGTCCAGAGTTGGGCCATGAAGATGATCAGGGGCTGGAGCACCTCCCCTATGAGGACAGGCTGAGAGAGTTGGGGTTGTTCAGCCTGGAGAAGAGAAGGCTCCGGGGAGACCTTACAGTGTCCTTTCAGTACCTAAAGGGGGCCTACAAGAAAACTGGAGACGGCCTTTTTACAAGGGCATGTAGTGATAGGACAAGGGGTGATGGCTTTAAACTGAAAAAGGGTAGACTTAGATTACGTATTAGGAAGTTCTTCCCTGTGAGGGTGGTGAGGCACTGGCACAGGCTGCCCAGAGAAGCTGTGGCTGCCCCTCCCTGGCAGGGTTCAAGGCCAGGTTGGATGGGGCTTAGAGCAACCTGATCTGGTGGAAGGTGTCCCTGCCCATGGCAGGGGAGTTGGAACCAGGTGGTCTCTAAGGTCCCTTCCAACCCAAACCGTTCTATGATACTGTATAGCTAAGTGATTTAGATACTTCCAACCTTACATGTAAATAAAACATTGCACATGAGGTTCAAAGAGGTTTGAACACCAGGTTTTCTAGACATAGAAATGTATAGTAATAAGTTGTTACACTCCTATGAGGTCAGTTTTATTCCAAGTTATATAAAAGCATATCGAATTATGTGAGTGGAATAAGAATAGTTCTATGTTCTTACGGTTAGTTATGATCACTTGGTGGTGTGAGCTTTTGACCAGATAAGACTATTCTGTACTTACTTGAAGGAGTGTTAATAGAGGAGTTTTCCAAGTTGTCTAGTCTTGCATTTAAATAACTTTTTATTTTAGTTTTCACTAGCTTGATTTTAAAAAAAATCTTACTGCTTTCTTATTAATCTGCAAATACATCCCTTTCTTTTCCTAGGAAACAGTTCCCATGCTATACACAGCAGATACTAACGGAGCACTGTAATGAAGTGTGGTTCTGTAAATTCTCCAATGACGGCACTAAACTAGCAACAGGATCTAAGGACACAACTGTTATTATATGGCAGGTTGATCCAGTAAGTGTGCAACATGTGTTAAAATGTGTATGACTTGTCTTTCCCTTCCCTCTCTGCTTTCTCTTGCTAGGATGGATTCATTTTTGTAGGACAGGCTAACATGTACTGTAGCCTGCTGACTAGGTTATTTCTCTGGGATGTAAAAGACTGACTGTCAACTTCAATGTGAGTTGGTGAAGGAGAACACTTGAAAACCTGAGTGTAAGGCTTGAACTGTTGGCAGCTTTGGGGCAAACTTTGATCCAACCAGTGCCACAGGGTAGAGCCTGCTGATGCCCTCCAGGGGAGCTTCTCAGCTTGAAGGCCTTGAGAAGCATTGGGTGAGAGTGGAAGGAATGTGACAGTGTGCATGGCAGCGTGAACCTTTCTTCTAAATCACTCTTAGTAAGACTGCTTCTTTTATCTTGTTACTACTAGTACACTTGGATTTAAATATTTCCATTTCACCATTTATTACTGAGTGATAAGATGGTATGTGCTAAACTGAAATTGTATCGGTATATCATTTCGTGTTAGTTGCTGTTATAAGATTTGCATTGGCTTGAGATGAAGACTTAAACGCTTGTCAGAATCTACTGACACATGGAAGTATACCCGTCCATTTTCTTAGAGATTGTGGTTTTTGGTTTTGATACTAGTATGTGGCACTGTTTCTCTTACATGGAATATTCTACAGGTACAAGATCTGTCTTTCCTACCCATCTCTATTCTTATGTAAATAAAAAGATTGAACAGTGAATCTGAGACTGTTTTAATTGACACTCAGAGGTGATTTGAAAGTATGTCCATATGTTTTGTAACAATTGAAAACTGTGAATAAACTTGAACCTATGCACACAAGGTTTAAAGTTGTTAATGCTTGTAAAACGCTATCAGAAATAAGATTCTTACTGGTTTTTTAACCGCACAACTGCAAACTGGTATGCTAAGTGGAAGATGAAAGGTTTTTGGAGTTCCATACTGGCTTTCAGTAGGATTTGAGAGCTGAACTTAATCCTTTCCTTCCACTACAGGTTAGGAAGCTGTATCACTTGAGTCCTTTTTGCTATTAAGAAGATGGGAGAACTTTAAAACTGGAGCCAGTGTGCTCTGGGCCAAGAAATGCATAGCAGTCTAAGCTGACTTCTGTTATTTAGTTAGGAAATTATCTGTATTTTTGGTGTGGATGATGTTGGGTTTCTTCTAACAGAACAATTCAGAGTAAATTGAGGATCAAATATTTTTGCTGTTGACTTACTGCTTGATTGTAGAGGCACATCTTCCTCTTATATTAATGAATTTTAATACTCAACATCTTGCTTAGCACGTTTTATAGTGAATTATTAGCTAATATCTAGTTAATCAAACCAAATAAATGTTTTGCGATTGTTTTAGATGAACCCTTCTGGCCAAGGGTTGCTAAAGGAACAAAATCTCTAGTAGCTGGAAAGCAGCTTTGTAGAGTTTTATCTTCTGTATTTGAGTACTTAAAAAAAAAAAAAAAAATTAAACTGTTTCAGAGGTGGATGCCTAAATAACATTAGGCCACATAACAAATTGTTCGCTTTCATACTTGCCAGAGCATGCTTCTCACATTTCCTGCAGCAGTTGATAGTGACTTTTGAACCTTTAGCTTAATCAGGTTTTCAAGGCTTAAGGTATTTAGAATTATTCTAATCTGTGTATGTAAGCTACAGGGAAACATCCATCCAACGCTGGGCAAGTGATGGGAGAATATTGCTTTAGATGAACAGTATTTCTTTTTCCACACACACTTCATGTGTGTGAATGCTTCATTTCTCCTTTTCTTCATCACCCCTCTGGAAGTATAATGACACTACTTCCATATGTTTTCTTCATTTCATACTATGAATTTCTTATTTCTTTTCTAAGACCCAACTACATGTCTAAGCTGTCTTAACCCATGCTTCTGTTTTCATTTTCATTTGTTCATTTTTGAACTTTTGAACTGCAGACTCAGCAGCATTAAATAATGTCTTGAGTGACGTAGGTTTGTGTGTGGAAAGCGTTATTTGACTTAAGTGTGGCAGAATCTCTCTAGCACAAAGGATAAGCGCAGTAGGTGCGTTACTTTGTCTGGCATGCATCTTCTTTGATAGGGCTCTTCTTTAATGTGTACCTTACAGAAAACCTTTTTTTATCTGTATTTTCTAAAAGTTTCAGCCAAGGAGCTTAACTACTGCAGACTTAAGTTGATACCTGAATAGTTGTTCCTTCTACATAATAAAAATCTGGGAACCTATATGTAAGGGATAGAAGTGCTGTGATTTCTTTTGGTGATAGGTGGGAAGCAGATAGACTAAATTTTCCTGAAATACCATTGACTCCTGTTTTAGAGCAAAACATGGTGTAACAGTTTTGTTGTGATCGGAGGGAAGTACAAGAGCAGCATGAGAGATTATAGTAACAGCCCCAAAGTCCTGTCATTAGAAGAGGTATATCCTATATATCTTGTTCCTCGTGAGCCTTAAATGTGATGCAGAAGTGACAGGCTACTTTAATCCTGGTGTAAAGAGAAATACATCAGTTGCAGGCAAGTTCCAGGGTGTGAGATGATGTCAGATGTGACTCAGTTTTCTTGCAGATCAGCTTAGCTACAGACACAGCAGTGTCTAATGCAGACCAGGAATAATAATTAGAATGGAAAAGGGGCCTTGAGGAGGTCTGTTCGTTTGCCCCTCTTTCTCTGTGCTTTGAAGATTATTCTTGGCTCACTTTCTTTTGAAGAACTCAGTTTTTCTAGCCACCAGAACCATCGAAGCTGCAGGCTGGCTTGAGAGTCACCAGTTCCATTGCAGCTGATCCCAGGGAACAGTCCCTTCATGTCACACTCTTCCTCTGTTGACTATACTCTTTCTCTTTTAGAATCAAGAGGTGCTCTGAGATTAATATTAAAACAAAAGAAAGAGAAGGGACAATTTGAGAAATCGAGCTAGATTTTTCAAATGAGTCACTCCTCAAAAAGAGAAGTAGAATGTATAAGCATCCCCCATGGAGGAAAAAAAACAAGTGGGGAGGTGGGGGGTGGGAATTCACTTGGCCTTTTCCAAGACGCTTTGCAAAAATCATTGTCAACAGTTTAATGACCTTTGTTCTACTTTCTGTATGTGCCTGTTGTCAAGAGTCAGTGCTAATGCTGTGTGGAAGCATGTTTCTGTAGGAAGCCAGTGTATGGTTGTTTCACAGTATCTTTTTTTATATTTATTTTGATAAGCTGCTTGAAAGTCAGGTTCCTCTGACAAGGGAGCAGTGGAACAGTTGTAACTTAAAGGTGATACAAGATACTCCATGTGAGCCAAGTATGCTTCCTTCACTAAATCTGGCAGGAAAGATGCAACAGCTTGTTGTAGGCAACACTTCTGAAATAAGAACACCTCTCAAGGAAGCTTTTAAAAATATCTTTCTGTAAAACTTTTCTTGAGCAGCACACACAAGATACACCCAAGTTTATAAAAACACTGGTACTTGGAAGTTTTCCCTTCTTGGCGTGCATGAAGGTTTTGGTTCTCCGTTTAACCATAACAGGGTTCCAGCATGTCTTTACTTTTTAAAAGTAACATTTTGGTAAAATATGGATAATGGTACTTTTGTATTCCAGTAGATGTAGAGAGATTTGATGTTACAGAAATCTATACTAAAGCAAGTGTAATGTAATGTGCAACTTCATATGCAATGGTATTTTGTGAGTTCTGCATTCAGAATCATGGAAGATTGGAACAAAAATACTCCCAAGTGTTCTTGTTTTGCATGTTGAAACTTAGAAGCTTTCGTTTTATAGTCCTACTTTGTAAACTAGCAACTGCTTTTCCAGTAAGAACCTATTCATATGTCTTGTAAAATGCAGGTGCCAAGTTGCATAAAGCGAACTTGCCATGCTGTACTTGGCCACTCTGTATATGTGCAATCTAGCAGGAGTTCGTTTGCGTTGTCTCAACAGAATCTCTCTTCTTTCAGGATACTCACCAGCTAAAACTACTTAAGACATTAGAAGGTCATGCATACGGGGTCTCTTACATTGCCTGGAGTCCAGATGACAACTATCTTGTTGCCTGCGGCCCAGATGATTGTTCTGAGCTTTGGCTCTGGAATGTACAAGTAAGTGGTAACTGAGAGTAAAAAATAAAACTTTGGTCAGCCTACTGCTTTTGTTTCAATATCTAAATACATTAAGCATGAAAGAAGTAATTTCTACAAACTTGTTGTGCAAAGGTGTGAGTGTAAATAAGAGGCAGTGTTCTCCCCGCCCCCCCCCAACTTGAAAAAATGACAAGGCAGCCTACAAATGCTGTACTCTGTTTGTACAGAGGTGAAATTAGAGTTCAAGTCTTACTGCACAGTCCTAGGCACTAGTTCTAGTGTATCTGGTTACTGATCGTTTCTGACGAGGGATGGCATAAATCCATAGGACCTTAGAGAGCTACTGAAGAGAACAGTAAATTAATCAAAAGAAACAGAGGGCAGAATTATCTTCTAAGGGGAGCAACTGCTTGTTGAAGATTTTAACAAGTAGCAAAAGTAAAAGATACAAGCTATTTTTATTTTGTGTGGCCCTCCCATGATGTTAGTGGAAGATCCACAGAGACTTAAATTTGTGATTTCAGAACATCAGCTTTTGGTCAGACACTAGGGCATTTTGCCATTTCCTTCATGCATTTGAAAATCCTTTTCTGTTCTTGGTTTTTTCTGGGCACTTGACATAAAAGCTTCCCCTGCCTCAGCTGCGGGCTATATTGTCTTTCTTGTGCTGCCTTGGACTCTGAACTAATTTAGTTTCCTAAAACAAAACTGTTCCCTTTTTTTCACCCTTGGAATACTTCTGTTTAACTGACTAAATTGGCTTAGTGAAGAGTGCTAGAGCTGGCACAAGGGAATAGAGAGATGACCTTACTGTTTTCACAATGGTAAGCCAGTCATTGGCACTCTGTCTTGTGAAATCCGTGTTAATACGCTAGGGATGAAAGCTAAATTTTGGCATGAAGAGCTCCATCTTCAGGAGGAAAATGTTCTAAATACTCTGATACTCCCAACTTTTCACAGAAATGTATTTTGTCATTTGTGTTTTCTTGTAGTCTCCCCTGCCTCTTTGCTTTCCATGTCTTTTTTTTCATTTCATATTGCTTCTCGCTCTTACATGTTCTTCCAACTTCTTTTAATTCCTCTCTTTGCTCATAGCCTTCTGGTTGTGAGTGGACAGACTAGTCCATCTCTCTTGACTTGAGGGAACAAAAGAAATTGTCCTAAGTCAAGTCCAGAGTCAGTGGAAATGCTGAGGTAGTTCTGCCTTCTTATTGCATTATACATAGATCTATGATGCTTTTTAATAAACGTGTTGAAATATGTGCGCTTCCAAACACTACGCGTGTCAGATAAAATTATCGATGCCTTTTTGGGAAAGGGGTTCTAGTATAAGGCCTTGCTGCCTTCGTTCATTTTCCAGACTGGGGAGCTCAGGACAAAGATGAGCCAATCTCATGAAGACAGTTTAACAAGCGTGGCCTGGAATCCTGATGGGAAGCGTTTTGTAACGGGAGGTCAGCGTGGACAGTTCTATCAGTGTGTAAGTTCTCTGCGTCTGTCCCATTGAAAACAGAGCAAAAAATGAAAGTTTTGTCATGGTCAAATCCAAGGTTTGTGTTTATTTTCAGTTTTTTTGTGTATGCGTATACTAAAACTTCTGGTCCTTTGTAATTCAAAGAAGCAATATATTCATGCTAGTATTTCAGCAGCACCTGTTTATGTAGCGGTTAGAAGGATTCAAGCATCTTTTGTTTGCCTAAAGGAGGATTTGTGGGCTGGGAATTTTTTTCTTAGCTGCTCTAGAAAACACACTAATAAAAAGTGGTGCCTTTGTCCACAAATCTTTATTCCACCGGATTTTGACTGTCTGTTTTAGTTTTTGCATGCTGTCTTTGCTTAGTATAAACAGACATTTGAAACCCTCATTACTTGACTAGTGTTGATTTTGGGTGGAGGTCCACAGTCTCACCCTACTCTTGATTATTTGTAATCTGAATTGGTGCCCAGTATAATAGTGCAGTACGCAAACCTCACTCGCTGCAAAGGTGAGCTCTGGGATGTGACAGTTTGCACATGTCTCACACAAGGAAATAAGTGATGAAAGGGATTCTCAGCTCTCCAGGACAGATACTTACAAAAGCCCTCGTTAAGATAACCAAGTCCTAATTCATGAAGTGTTCTCTCTTACAGGGTAAGATTGCTTTCTGTAGCAATTGTCTGAACAGCAGGTGAAAAAGATACTTGTGTCACAACTCCTCAGAAATCTAACAGTTTGATTAACAGTTCAATTTTTTATTTTTTATTTTTCTCTTCTGATCAGGATTTAGATGGTAATCTCCTTGACTCCTGGGAAGGGGTGAGAGTACAATGCCTTTGGTGCTTGAGCGATGGGAAAACTGTTCTAGCATCGGATACACACCAGCGAATTCGAGGTTATAACTTTGAGGATCTTACAGACAGGAACATGTAACTACCTCTTTCTTTGGTTTTGAATTCCTGGTTCTTAGTGTAGGAAGAAGATTGAGAAAGGGTTTCTGGGTCAGAATGAGAAATAAGTTATTAAAATGCTTTCAGTGTTAAAAGAAGAGGAGAATAAAGTGGGACAGTTGCAGCAAGAGGCATTAGGTCATGTATTAGAAATAACTTTCAAAGCACTGGAGTGTGTTTTGGTGGATGTTTTGACATTTCTGTCATCAAGACTTGTCATTTTCTCAATTCCTGGCATATTTTAGTAGATTCTACCTTGAAGTTAGGAGTTGGATTTGAGGTCTGAAGCTTCTATTGGTCTTGATTTGTCATAAATATAAGCAAACCATTGCAGACCTAGCTTGTACTAACATACGGAGACATACATAATTTCAAATTCAGAACTGTCTTTCCCTGATAGTACTGCAGAGACAGGAGATACCTCTTGTCTTGGTGTTGCATCATTGTTTGGTTAAATGTACTCTTAATACTGATGTGTCTTATCATTTCAGAGTACAAGAAGATCACCCTATTATGTCGTTTACTATTTCAAAAAATGGCCGTTTAGCTTTGTTAAATGTAGCAACTCAGGTGAGTTAGTGATGATAAATGGAAATGAAAATAACTCTGCTTGTGACTGCTACCTGTTTTTGAATCTCTTGATGTGAATTGTTGGAATGTTTGATATTAACCAGTTGTATTTCATGTAACATGAAGGCCTTAATATTCATAAATCTTCTGATAAGACAGTCTTATTCTTGAGATTGATTTTTTTTTTTTTTTTGACTTATAGTCAAGAGTTTCATGCTATGAAATATGTACTAGTAAATGTTAAGATCTGGCTACTGAATTGAGAAACCAGGTACAGCAAGCATTGTGGCAAACTGACATGTCTAGAGGCGTGAGAATTAGGTTTTATTTATTTATTTTTTATTTTTGGAACCTCAGGTAAGAATAGGAGCTTTTGGAATAGAAGGGACCACAGGCTGGAAGTTTAATCTAGTAATTTGGTATATCTTTATTCTCTTGATCTAGTAATAGTACTGAAGTTGGCTGAAGCGATGTAATTTCATAATGTTTAAATTTTTTTTAGGGTTTCAAAAGAATGCAATGAATAATGTTTAATGATAAAATAATGTTCTTTAAACTTCTTGTTCCCAGGGAGTTCACTTATGGGACTTACAAGACAGAGTTTTAGTGAGAAAGTATCAAGGTGTTACGCAAGGGTTTTACACAATTCACTCGTGTTTTGGAGGTCATAATGAAGATTTCATCGCAAGCGGCAGTGAAGGTAACATCATTCCCTTTTGTATGGGAAACTGGAACACTGTATCCTTCCTATACCTTTTATAATGCTGTTGTTAGCAGCTGTCATCTGTAAAAGTAAGCAACTTGTTCACTAAGTAATTTTGAGGAACACTGAGATTGTGGCATACTTCAAGAAATAATTGTCTGCTAGCAGAAAATCTTGTGAGAGGATGGTAGTAGTAGAAAGCACTAATAGATCTTTTGTGTTGCTCCTCTAAAGCAAAAGCATATGCACAGTTTTAATTAGAAGTGGGTGGGGTGTTCTTGAGGCTTTTTCTTTTTGTGGTATGATACTTAGGCTTATGGTTTGGATCAAAATTACTTCTGGGGAGTAACAGCTTCATTTACCTGTTGAAGATATAGGTGTGGTGAGGTTATTTTAATTTCAATAGTCATCAGCTTAATTATGGAAGGAGTAGTCTCAAATTAAGCATTGTCTCAAATTAAGCAGTTGTTGACATAGTCTGGTAGGGTTTCTTGGTGATCAAAGGCTTTGTGGTATGTTTTTATTCAGCTGTCTGGGGCAAGAGTAGAAATTAGTGGTTGTATGTTGAATTGGTTCAGTTCTGTCACTGAGGTAGTGCCATCACCTCCCATGGAGGTTGCTTAAGTTTCTAGCCTATGCAGGGCTGAGAGTTAAGTGACTGCTTACACATTCCAAGTGTTAATACTATGTAACGCACAACTAATAGGAAGTAAGGTTGGCCAGGACATTGCTACTGTTCTTTCCTGGAAAATACCAAATATGTCTAAAACCCAAATTTCACCCTCTGATCAGACTGAGTGGAATACAGTGACTGAAGGACAGCACCTCCAATCCAGTGTGGTTGAACAAGGTTCTTGGTTTGGGACCCAACTACCCAAAAGTTCAGGACTTGTGTTGAGCCATACTGATGTGCATGTGTAGGTGTAGATGCTTCAGTACACCAGTCCTTTTTTTTTTCCCCTGTTTATTTATTCCTTATTATCTTCAGTGTCTAAAAACTACTGAGCAGTACTTGAAACTGATGGCACCCTATTTCTATTTGGACAGTCAGAAGCTGTTGCCTCTTTGCACTGAATGTAGCTACTGAGAAAGTCTATGCATCTTTAAAAAACAGCAAATAAACCAAAACTAACATCACATTGTCATAGCCTTTTTAAAAAAAAGGTAACTGATTTAATTGTCGTAACCTCTTAAAAACTTAAGGTATGTTGTCAGCTGGGTAGGCTTTTTTCCTAACATTTGTATCAATAGGAGGGAAATGGAGGTCTCTTTCCAAGAGGCAAATTGACTGCTACCTTAATCTAGCTAACTTTTGTTTTCCAAAACAAAATACAGGCATTCTGACGAGCATCAAAATACTGGTTTGTGTTTAGGCTTTGAGTCTCCCAGACAGCAGAGGCTTGCATGTCCAGTGTTTAAGCAGAAAGTGAATTGTGTTGTTTGATGAATAGCATGGATGTGTAGTCTCTTGAAATCGTAAGTGGAATGTAAACACAACCAGAACATTTGCATCCATACAACTATATATAAAGGTGTTGTACTCAAATGAGCTGATTCAGCAGAAGACAGTTGACTTATCACATGGTTCCATGATGCTATTCTAGCAGGTAGGTCAGAGAGCAAGTTTGTTTTGTAAGGGGTTGGGAGGAGGCGTAGAGAAAGATTGGTTTGTTTGCTAAGCCTTCAGAGTTACTACAATCTACATTAAAACCTTTCAAATACATTCAATACTTTCATTTGATATGCTAGACCTAAATACTAGTCTTTTGTGTAACACTGTCAATACATACTTGCTCAGTTTGTTCAGCTCTGTTTGGAATATTCCAAAGACACTCCTAGAGAGGTCAACCCACAGGCTTGTTAAAGGCTGCTGGTCTACAATTGGGGGAAACAAAACCAAACCAGAATATACCTATAGTCATTTATTCTTAAATGTAGTTTGTTATAAAGCAGTAACACTTCTCTAAAAATTGCAGTGGAGTGTCTGACTAGTTCACTGTTCTATTTCTAGTGTGCTGCTAGAAGTAATTAAAAGCTTCCTATCACAAAATAAGATCTGTAGGGTTATCGCATCTACTTCAATACGTGCAAATTCGTGTCTTTAAATACCATACCAAAAAAAATTGCTGTCAAAACCAGTAATAGCTCACAATTTGAGACACTAAGCTTTGTTGCTCTCCAGTGAAAGTGCAAACAGCAAATGAGGGAATGTTTTACGTCTTTAGTATCAAGATGTATTTCATATACTACAGAGCTGTGATCTTATCTGTACTCATCAATAGGTGGTGGTTGTAAATATTCTGCCTTAGTACTCATGACTTCAGTGTGTACTAATCTGTAAATACAATTGTTTAAGAAAAAAAAATAATGCAAGACTTGCTTTTTGAATAAGATTACAACTCCATATCCTTAAGAGTACCTTGGTTTCTCTCTTTAGCTACGTATTGGCTTACTGCACTGTAGTCAAATGTTTGTCTTTAAATGCCAAGCGTAGTAGACTTGCAAGTCTTGAAAGGGAATGTGCCTCTTAGTGGAAGAGCTTCACCCGTGTCCTTTTGATTGCTTTTAGAGAAAAAATTTTGTTAGTCCTATTGCAAATTCAACAGATACGGGTTTTACGCATGGGTTTTACAACATGAATGGGTTTTTTAGTTGCTGAAGGCTTGTGTGGAAATGCTATTTGATATGACAAATTGGTCTGTGCAGGACAAGGTTTCTCATTATGTTTTTTAAATGCGTATTTTATTTAGATCACAAAGTATATATTTGGCACAAGCGTAGTGAGCTGCCAATTGCGGAGCTGACAGGGCACACGCGTACTGTTAATTGTGTGAGCTGGAACCCGCAGATTCCATCCATGATGGCCAGCGCCTCTGATGATGGCACTGTTAGAATATGGGGACCAGCGCCTTTCGTAGACAACCAGGATATTGAAGGTAAAGAACAAAGTGTGTGTGTCTGTGTCTTCTAATCCCTAAAAGCTTACATCAAAGGCAGTTGGTTCGGTGGGTTTCCTTTCCCATGAATAGGATAGAAAAATGCTTTTAACTCTTGGGTTAGAATCATTAATTTTACTAAAAAAGAAGTTACTGGGTTTTATGTATGGGTGTTGATTTTTATCTAAGTTATTTGTGTTTGTGGAATAAAAAGGAAACAACTGATATTTCCAAAATGATACTCAAATTTCTGACGTGGCCCTATAGAAAACTGTGGTGTCACTAAGACCTCAGGATTATATTAACTTACTTATGTAGACTTCTCTAAAATCTTGCCTCCAATGCTTGAGGTTTAATAACATACGATGTTATTAAAATTTAAATAATACATGGTGACCACACTGCAAATTGAATAATGATATTACAGTGCTTACAGAAGCAATCTCCAAATTCTGGAGAGAGTGAAGATTCCCACCATAAAATCTGTACACAGTTGATTCTTTCCTAGCCATCAGCAACCATCTGTGTTCCAGGAGAGAGACGCAATGCAACTTTTTTCACTGCCAAAATGCGCACTTGTTCCTGACCCTTCTTACCTCCCCCGAGAACTGTTAACGAGATGGCTGCTGAGGGGTTGTTCTGCAGTTTATAGGCTTCTGTTATTACACATTCAGCCTTGTGGTAAAAACTTACAGTAAACATTAAAATGAAGTACAGTATATCCCATTACCACAGGACCTTGTGGATACTAGGTGTGGACATGAGTTCAGGGGGAACCCAGACGAAGTAATCAGAGAAATTCAATGAATACTACTAGGGAAGTGAAAACCTCTAGTTCAGAATGTCCCTTACATAAAAATTGCTGAAAGTTGGAAGGATATCAGGAGGAAGAATTGCCTCCTCTTCCTGCTCCTGTGCTTTCTGACACATCTGCTTCTGGTCTTGGACTAGGTGGACCAGCCTGGCCAATCTCCTGTTGGTAACACCTTGAATGCACCCATAAGGACTCAGACCCTGTCCTCCAGTTGGTTTTACTCATGGTTTTGTTCGTTTTCTCTAATTAGCTGCTTGCTCACTCTTTCTTAGTTCCTCCAGAAAATGAGCTAGTAAACGCCACAAAAATCAAAACAATAGGAAATGGATTTCTCACAGCAGTGCTTCCAAGGAGGTGTAGGTGCACGGAATAATACCTAACTATAATACTTAGCTTAGGAATCCTGAATAGGTGACAGACAGCTTTGTAATTAGCACGCTCCCCTGAGACTTGAATGCAAGTGTGCATTACTACTTTTTGGAAGAGATGCTTTTTGTGTACCAACACCTAACATGCTAAATTAATCTCTAAATTAATATGAATAATGATATCTAAAATAAGTAATTTTTAGCATGGGACTTAGCCACAGTATAAGATCCATTAACTAATGCATGTTCAGTAAAACTTGCGTAAAAACACTGTATTAATGACCTTATAATCGAAATTCTATTAACTATTGATAAGATCTTCAAGATGTGATTTCTTTCTCTTTGTTTTTGTTTTTGCTCAGAGGAATGCAGTAGCATGGATAGTTGATGGCGAATTTGGAGCAGACGACTTCAGTTTAACTTAATTAGTCGTATTTTAAATGGCTTGGGATTTGGTGCAAACAAACATGATTGATAGCTGGACAGACATGCTCGTCATGAAAAAGAACCATTTCTGAAGCCCGGTTGGGGCCAAACATTTACCACCTTGCTTCATAGTAACCAGTCGAGATGAAGCACGTCGTTAGAACGTTGTTGGACACCGTGTTGAAATTACCCCCCCATCGGTTGTGAAGAACTGTGCTACATTCAGGCTAACCATTGAACTCAGTATATATATTTTTCCCTCCTGCCGTTTTGTCTGGCGGGGTACTGTTCTTGTTGCTCTTCTGTGTAATGAAGTTTAAATGCTTGTTTGGAACACTTTATTTAACAGTTTAGAAGGCTTGATAGAAAGAGTGCTTTAGTCTGAAGAGTATACATTGGATAGGAAAGTATTTCCTTCTCTTGTTTCTCAAGTCTCTCTCCGCCTTACTTAGCTTGAGATCTTTGCAGCTTGGTTCATGGATTCTAGCCTTGCCCGTTGCGCAGTATATATAAATTGAGATGATAAACCAATGAACTATGTCAAAAGCACTCTCAGTATCGCATTTGACAAAAAGTTTTGTACTTTTCACATAGCTCGTTGCCCCGCAAAGGGGTTAACAGCACAATTTTTTAAAAATAAATTATTTATAGGATTAAAATGACTTCATTTGTATACATTTGGAATTAAAACAATGCAAGAAGTGTCGTGAAACATGGTATCACTGATGCTTTTCCGGAGTGTCTTGAGACCCAATCAAAAGCAATGTCTGGAAGGAACTTTATGTAGGCAGTGAAACTTGTTTTAGGAGGAGAAACTCACTGTCCATCTTTACAGATATTTAGGGGAAAAAAAGTGTTCAGAGTGCACCGCCAGACTAAGAGTTTAAACAAGACAAGGTCTTTTTGTTGTTGTTGTTTTAATTACGTAAATATATGCAACAGTGCTGGTGAAAGGTAAATTACACCTCGAGGGAAGAATGTGTTGAATCCTTTCTTCACAAAGTCAACATTTTGTAAAATTAACATACAAATCATAATTAAACACTTGTATTACAATGGAAAATTTTCTGTTTGGTAAACAAAGGTGTATAGATTTTCTTTTTGAGAATATACTTCTAAGTTTGCAGATTTAAATGCCTCTCCCAGACCTTGTTGCAAGCTGGTGCTGTGAACATCTTGACACATCTAGGAATAGTTCCACTAGTATCCCATGTTAAGAAAAGACATTTATAATTTAAGTATTTACTCTTTTTGACATAAACAGATGGCCTGCCATCTCTGTGCTTCTGCACTACATGCACATTCATTATGGGTTGGCACTGGATTCCTTTTTGCCGCCTTGGGTGGAACGGTAGCGTTGGTACTGCAGTGAAGTAAAGAGGGAGCAGGGGAAGGCATGCCACCAAGAATTGACATGAACAGGAATGTGAACATCATCCTTTAGTGAGAGAATAATCTAGTGTCCTTATTAGTCATGTGTGGAAGAAGGGTGGGGGAAGGTTTGCTGAAGTTCCTGAGAAGAGTAGTGTAGCCACTTTTGATGAACAGGAATGTGGTGTTTAACATAAACAGTCCCTTTGTTTTTCTGAGAAAGAAAAAAGTGGAGCTTAGCTGGTTAGACTTTTTGGTTTTTTTAGATTCCAGCCATCAGTTGGTGGTTTTGGTTTTTTTTCCTTGCCTTGTGCATAAACTTCAACATGATTTAAGATTCTGATACTTTGGTTGAGACCAGCCCTGAATCTGACATACTTCTCTTCTAGTACCTCCAAAATTAAGTTGAAACTTAACTTACTTATCTTTAATCCAGCACATTTGTCTTAAAACTAAGGTGAATTTGATAGCAATTACTGTTCCACAGTACTGGGAATACACGTGTAAACTCAAGACTGCAGATCAGTTCCTTCTTCCATTTGCTAGTTCTAGAAGAAGCTGTTTCTCTCCGTAGTTCAGACAGCGTAAGATTAGTCAGTCTTGTTCCTGTGGCATCAGCGTTGCAGGGAAAACAGACAACTTCTTAAGGTCAAATCTGAGTAAGCTAAACCTTTGGGTTTTAAATAAAAATTGAATACGTAAACTGTAAACAGTGTTTTATATGTTCAAAACATGCTATAATTCATAAGCAATGCCACTATGTGAATCTTTAGAAGTTACCATAGTATTATCTTACTCTGGAACAAAACACAGAAAACATTATTTAGGGAGAGTAAGGAGAATAATCCTGGTTTTGATGTCTCTTAACAACGTCTCATACAATGGTCTGGCACTACTGCTTACCTCATACTCATGGGACTTCAGTGGGAACTTTAGGCAGGTGCTGAAGGCTGGATTAAATCTCAAGTTTAGATTTAAAGTCTCATAAGCACTTCAACAGGCATTTTCAATGTGGTGGCCACATCTAAACAAAGTGAGACTCCTTACCTGGTACAAGTCATGTGGGGGTGTGTGTGGGCTGATGCCCGCTTTCCTTGGCAATGCATTATCGTTAGAAATTTAAACTTAGTACTGTTGCCAAAATACTGCCCCTCCGTTCTGGGGTTTCTCTTCTGGACTTGGTTTGTACCTCTAAAATACACTTCAGGTATTTAGAAGCAGAGTTAGGGAGAAGCACACATTCTGATACCTCCACTTTAGTTTTGTGGTGCAACTATGCAATGTAAAGGAAAGCTCCAAACAGACGGCACTGTCTCCAGAGTGTCTCACTAACAGCACGTTGTGTAGCTGTCCGCTTCTCACAGGCGATGAGCAGAGAGGAAAGGTGAGAATGGTCTTCGTTTCACCACTCTACTCGGTCCCGTGGCAAACTGATGTTACAGACCTAGCAGTAATGACTACCCTTCCAACCTGTAGATCAAAGAGGAACCTAAACTCCTTCTAACGTGTCACATACTCACAATATGTGAATTGAAAAGTACCAATACTTTTTGTACACGGATTATAAAATGAGACCATGGGGGCGGGGTGGGGGGTGGGGGCAAAACAAATAAGTTTGCTCGTTTGCAACACGTTGATTTCCATGTGCTTAAAAATGTTCGTAGGCTGGAGTCTAAGGCTGGAACAAGTACACACCCGCAATAAATTACTGTATTTCTAGTCAACAGACCTATGGCTTTAGGGAGGAAAATACTGTAAGCGTGTAATCCTTTTGTAATGTTCTCTGGTCAGCTGTTGGCTTAAAATATTCACAGTAGCCCCAGGTTATTGTCAAGGCAGATCTTTAAGAAAATTATGCTGAAGCATTTTATTATCTGAATGTTCTTTAGCTGTTCAGGTAAGTAATTTTCAAGGCACAATGGAGCACAAAAGGGAAAATGCTAGATCTGTCCTTGGGGGGG